TGGCAAGCATGTTTGGTGTGACGGGGATTCGAATCCGCGACCCTCAGATTGCGAGTCGAGCGCCCTAACCACCTGGCCATCCGTAAAATGATAAGCGTTAGGGTAGAAAAAAAAAAATAGACTTCTGACAAAACTGCAAATAAAATTTTTTATATATTTATATTCGAATACTTATCACAATATATGCGTGATATTTCAAATTCACAGCTTTAATTTTTACCAGTTAATTTACCAACAAACAAATTAATGCTTTAAAAAAGAATTGCAAATGGAAGAGGAAAATATATGATAAATTGAATTGAGACATGTTCCAAAATACATTCTATTTAGGGGATATTTTTTTCCTTTTTTTTTATAAACCATTTTAAACGGTTTTTTCATTAGGGTCAAACTATTCGGAAGTTTTAGATAAAAAAAATAAATAAAAACACTATATTTTAAACTTTGTATATACGTGTTTAACTGTGACATTTCAAAACTTGTGTTTATTTTAAATAATTATTACCAGTTCTTCAAAGTGTTTTGATTAGATTTTTAAAACATTAAACAAAAAGCTTCTGTTACTGCAATCTTTCAGTGTGTGATGTTTAATAAGTGACGACCATTTAAGCCCCCCAGTGACACAGCGGTATGTCTTCAGACTTACAACGCTAGAAATCCGGTTTCGATACCCGTGGTGGGCATAGTACAGATAGCTCATTGTGTAGCTTTGTGCTTAACTTCAAACAAACGACCATTTAATCATATTTATTTATAATTAAACGTCTTTTCTGTTAACTTGGTAAATATCTTGGCAATATATATATATATATGTATGTGTGTGTATTTACGTTTGTCTGTTTATCTTATCAGTTCAAATGCGTGATATTCAAAAGAAAACACGAACTGCCTCAAAAAATCGCTGTCTGCTTAGAAACCACGTCCTATCTTACTGTTACATGTTCTGTACGACAGTTGTGACAGAACAGTATAGATGTAGGTGACTGGTTAATTTAGGTATATTATGCTAACGAAAACTCTCGCACGTGAATTAAAAAATTAAATAAATGCTTTAATTACTTTTTTAGTGTTTTAAAAGCAATGATTTTTTTAGTTTATCGCATTGATACTTAAAGCTAGATGTTCCTAATTAAGAAATGATAGCGTAGAATGGAAGTCAGAGTCAATACTATCTACTGGGAAAGGGTGAACATGTTCGGAGACGAGATTCGAACCCATGACCCGCAAATTGCGAGCAGATGGCTCCAACAACAAGGCCATGCCAAGCGCTATATGTATATATATATATATATATATATTACGTGAAAAAAAAAACATTTTAATTAAAAATATCATTTGTGTACATTTGTTTAATTTTGCTTCTAAGGGAGTTATCTCAGTAATTATTGTTGATCATGTACATAAATATCAAGCCCAACACGAAAGAGGGTTCAAACCAAAATGAGGAGTAAAAAATCTTCTCAGTACGTTCCGAGTAAGCTAGTGCACTATATTAAAAACACATATGGGTTCCGGAACTTTTGAAATTCGTACTAAAAGACAGTTGAAATAAATGTAATTAGAAACATGTTTTGGTTAATGCCTAATTTTCTAATACTTAAGAACAATGATGGTTATTACAGTTAAAACCTACTGCTTTATTATTAATCGCTGAGAAAGAATTTTACTAATTTTCATATTTCTTGTTAAGACATTGTAAGCATGAAGATAATCAACATTAAGAAGCATAAGTAATAAAAAAATTAAAATGACAATTTTGTAAAATGGAATACACTATTACTTTGAAAAAACTACACACTAAGACTAATGTTCAAAATAGGTTTAAATAGCGTTAAAATGTTCTAAATTAATCGTTTTTGAAGATACTGTGCCAGCTTAGAAAACAAAATACCCGTCAACCTTCTCAACAAAGTATAGAATGTAAAAAATATTATTTATATACAAAATCAGAGTGCTGGGTCGTCAAGAAATTGTGTCACTTTTTTAGATGAAAAACCGAACAACTTGTATATCAAAACAAAACATTTATTAAATGAAATAGTCTCCATTCTTATCGATGATACTTTTCCATGTTACAATCAGGTTGTTAATGCCACGATTAAAGAAATCACTTGGCTATGAAGCAAAAGACATGTCGATGTCCTCTTTAACACCTTCCACATTTGCATGTTTTCCCATTAAGATGTTGTTGCAACGAACGAAAAAGATGGTAATCTGATACTGCCATGTCTGGAGAATATGGTGGGTGGGGGAGAACTTCCCAACCCAACTCTATAATCTTGTGTTGCGTCAAAGCGTGCCTCATGTAGACGTGCATTGCGTGGAGAAGAAGATCACCTTTCCGATTGACGAGTGAAGGGCTTTCTGATGAAGGGCTAGATTTAAACGTCAGTTG